TTAGAAAAACCTGCATACATAAAAATCAGCAGAGCAAGGGTTGCTATCAAGCTTGGTCAAGACAAGGGTTGTGTGTCAGAAAAATAGATAGGTGAGCTAATTTATAATGTCCTTTGTCTTTTATCATTTTGTCTCTTTTTTGATTTAATTGTCAACTTCAAACAACTTGTACGAGTTACAGTTGTTAATTTATTTACGAAGAATTATAAATTAAAAAAAGTACGTTTAGTAATACATTTTTAAATAGAGCAAACAATCATGTAATACATTTTTAAATTCAAATTAAATAATCACATTAATTATGTGACTTTTACTCATCAAATATTATTATTATCTTATTTAATTTTTAAAGTTCTTTCTCTCTCTTTAAGTTGTAGTAGGCTAGCTAGGTAGCTAGCTGCATAGACAACCCTATAGCTTCTTTCATTGAAGGGAGCAGTGATTGTGCATCCAAGGCCCAAGGGCACACTACTTATGCTGGCTGTGGCTGTCATCTACTTATGTTCAGATCTTGGCTGAAGCATAACTCTTGTTAGGTACTCGCTTTGTATCAAACGTGTGATGTTACCCTTGAGGAGCTACATTCTAACGTAAGAGTACAACTCATCCCAATTTTGTTGGGACAATGTATATTTATTATCAAAAAAAAGTTTATTATTTTTATAATTAATTTAATTATCGTTGATTTCTATCAATCTAATGGTTATAATTTATTGAGAATAATAATTAATTAATAAATGCTACTCAATAATTTTCAATAAATTATAACCATTAGATTTACAGAAATCAATGATGATTATGTTAGTTGTAAATTTTTTTAGTGATAAATATAACCTTCCCCATTTTATTGTTAGAAAAGTTTAAAAGATATACTTTTATTTCATTTTAGATGATACGAAATTATTTTGGTATTTAATTGGTTATTTTCTATCTTCTCTTTCTTCCATTTTTTTCTTCCTAATTTTACGAAGGAGAAAGAATGTAAGAAATTATTAAATAGACATTAAAACAACGTTTTATTTAAGTGTCTGTTTGGATCATCTCTTTTCTGTAAGCTATGAGCTACTTATAAGCATAAGTTAGGCAAAACAGATTTTGAAAAAAACTCTTATAACGAAAAGCTCTTCTTTTATAATGAAGAAAAAAGTTAAAAGTTTTTAGGAGGATCTTTTTTTAATCTCTTATCTGTTTTTCTTGAATTGTGTTTTTTTAAATGAAGAGTTACAAAGATAGAGAGAGAGATAATTTTCTTGAAATATGTGTTTTTAAGCTAAATTTTTTATGTAATTACCAAACAGCTTTTAATTTTTTTTTTAAGTTCTTATTTTTAACTTTAGCTTATAAGTAGCTTCTAGCTTCAAAAAAAATAGAGGATTCAAACAGGCTCTAAAATGATACAAAGTTATTGATTTAAAATAATAAACAATTTTTTTTATTATTATTGATGGATCACGCCTTAGGTACATTATATTTGCCTAATTATCTCTAGTATGTAGTTGGAAAAAATAGTGAATAATTTATATTAACAAAACTATATTGGATGGTGATCATGAGGTTTAGCTTAATTGGATGGTGAAATTAAATGATAAATGGCATTTGTTCCTCTACGTCCTTTGTTATTTGCATTAGTAATCATGATTAACACCAGTTCATAATTTTCTAAACCCTTTTTCATTTCAACATGCTTCCGTGAATTCAAAATTAACGTTGAGAGTGAATTCTAATTGATAAGTTAATAATATTTACCGGTGATCGTATAAAATTAGACAATGACACAAAATATTATTTGCCTTTTCAATTTCTAAAATCTGGAGACTGCAGTCATCAATCCTTAAAATTTAATTTTATCTATTATTTTTTTTTCTATAGATTCATAAAAACTTGATTACATTAGTTCGAATTTTTTTCAGATTCATGTAAAAAATCAAATTTGAAATCTCTAATTAAGAAAAATAAGTTACTGAATGGTTTATATATAATTCCCTATCTTTGTCCTCAAGTTTACTGAATGGTTTATATATATATATGCGCTTTACTTTAAAAAAAGTACGTGCAGAAGATTATAAATTCCATGTATTGAATAGGTTAAATTAATAAATTAGGAAGAAAAGGTAAGAAATCCTGTAGGTGGAATAATTAGGAATAGAATGCATATTCTTGAAGAGAAATCTTCCTAGGGAGAATAATGGACATAGTGGTGGGTCTATGTACAACTGGATTTTGTAATTATTGAGCCTTCACATAGTTACTTGATGTGCCCCATACAGTAATGCACTTCCCACATGAACATAGTACTTAGCTCCAAAAGATGAATAAATTAATATAAATTAATAAATAGAGAGCATGGTAGTTTCCGTGGCAAGAAGTGAAAAGAAAAGTTGGAAAGGGAAAGTAACAAAGCTTCCAATGCCATTATGTCAAAGTGGATTACAATGAAGCACGGCCCCACAAGTTTAAACCATCTAAGAGTTACTTTGATGATTGGAATTCTTTCCCGGCAAGTCACTTTCTTTTTGACCCTTATATGGTAGGGTTTTTACATTTTTTTTTTTGGAATAAGTATATGTCTAAGAATGTAAAGTTATCTCATTTCAAGAGAGAGAGAACGAGATAGATAAAAAAGAGAGAGAATGAACAAAATAAAAATAAAAATATGGGTCTCACCTCTTTGTGAAAATGAATGACATGAATTATGTCATCTAAAAAGATAAACACTTTTTTCTTTTTTTCTTTGTAAAATTTACAACCACGCACCTCTATATATGTCGTTATTTTCGGCGAAGTTTATAAAACGATGGAAAATATTATTTTGTATTATTGTGAATAAAGATTTTATTTGCTAAACATTATTCATCGTAATGTTGCCACTAGCAAGCACAATTAATTCAGATTCTATTATTATATTATGATGTAATGTTATTATCTAATTAACGACTTGCATTTATAATACGGAAACATTTTTTAGCAGTTTTTGATTTTTTTGTTGGATTTATGTTCTTTCACCTAAAGTCCAATTGGCTCTGTGAATAACCCAAAAAACCTAAAGTTTATGCAGTTTAAGGCTAAATTTTCAAGTTACTTGTATAAATTCTACACTTTTAATCATCAGTATTTGATCTTTCACTATTGTTGATGTTGAGGTAAGATTATTTTTATGAAGGTCAGAGAATACATACACATTAGCACATCTTTGATATTATTGGAGTATGTACTCGTTTACTAAAAGTAAGAAAGAGTGATGGTTTAGAGAAAAATAATCATACAAGAAATGATAAAATGGTAAAAAATATAAGTTTTATTAATTTCATGTTAAAGGAGATAGTTATCTTATGTCATAGAAATAAATTTGTGAGCTCCACCACTTGAAAAAAGAAAAAAGAAAAGAAAAAAAAAATGTGGCATAATTATCGAAGGGTGTGTAGGAAAAAAAATTTATCTCATATAATATGAAAATAATTTTTTTCAAATTATATGTTATTTTTTCAAATTGAGTAAATGATGCAATGAGTCTTTGTTACTTCTGTAGTAGTGAAGATAATCTGGAAAGTTTGCGGATGCAGAGAAGATCAATTTACGAAGAGAGTTCATACATGTTTCCAAAAAGAAAAAAGAGTTCATACGTAAAGAAATCACTTATAAAACTGCGCTATAAGAGGTATACTTGTGTGTTTGTAAGATGATCATGATTTGATGTACTAAAATCGCTTATGCATAAATCCAATTTTTTCAACTATTCTCGCAGCATACAAAAAAATGGGGTATTTTACAAATTGTAAAATTGCAATTAAGGATAAGTTAATGCTAAAATTTAAGAGAAAAAACCGTACTTGTGAAAACAAGTGATAATTTATGCTAAAAACATAGTTAGCAGTTACTGTTTTGGCTAGAAATGACAAATCTCATCACCAAAACTAAAATAATAAAAGCAGGCATCACTTTGAAACTTAGTATAATTTATGGAAATTTTTTTTTCTCACTAATCATAAATCATCGTTTAATATGCTTAACCCTACGTCCCCATCCTATAATGATGATTAACCTTCATTGCAAGAAATTAAAAGATCTAAACCACAAGGGTTTTTGTGTGGTTGATAGCCACCTAACTAAGATTAACTTATTAAATGTATAGATAATAAAAAAAGATCAAGTTAATATAATAATATCCATGCAATGATGGTCAAACCAATTATGCTTTTAGATAGTAGTTTTTATTATCAAATTGGCACTTTGTTTAGTACCATTGCTTGTTGATTCTCACTTTCTTTCATTATTATATATTAGTGGGTAAGGTATGTAGCCGACATTCATTTTCTTTGATGCCCCCATTATATACCTGTATACCTCTCTCTCATCAAAACTGTATAATTGTCTCAAAACCATTGATTCCAACACACGGGAATCTCTTAACACCATGCGCACAATAGCCTTCATCACCTCTCTGATTAATGGGCCATTCTTCTTACAGTGTTACTTTCTATAAGTGACGGAACTGGAAACTAAAAATCGTCTTGCGTGCATTTCCATTTTTACCCTTTTTTTTTTTTTTTTCTCTCACTTCCTATCTTTCAAATTTTTATTCTCTCTCTCTCTCTCTCTCTCTCTGACATTTTCAACTCTTCACCGTTTCTTCTCACATCTTTTTTTTCTGACTCTCTTTATCTTTTCTGTCACTTAAATCCGTATTCTGCAGAGCGCAGTTGGGAGTACCCCATCTTTAAACACTGAAGCGTGCGGTCATTTTCGACCCTCAGAAAAGCAAAACACCAAAATAGAAGTAAAATTGAATTAAACCAATATAACAAGATAAAATAAAAATAAAACAGTAACAATTGATACTAAAAAAAATAAATAAAAAAATCAGATTTTTTTTTTTAGTATCAAAAACATTTGGCCTTGTTTTTTAATGTTGGATATTTGTTTGCTTTTGGTTTAACCTTCCCCACCAGATGATGAGATAATCATGATCCATCCTCAATTAGCTAATGCTGCATACCAAACTGGAGAGAGAGAGAGAGACATTTACTTTCAGAAAAACAAGAAAACGGGTTATATCAGCATTTGCAAGGTGATGGGCACTCTCTGAGGTTGTTCCACTCTTGATGTTTCTTTTGGCTGTTCAGAGTTCCAGTGAGGCAGAAAGAACCTGTTACAGAAAAGAACAAATTTTCCTATCTCATTCACAATTCTTCTCAGTGAGATTGCCTAAATGACAACTGGGTTTTATTTATCTTGTTGTGTGGTGTGATTATTACCCCATTCTACTCTTCCACATCTGGTTTTTTTTATATCTCTTCAAGTTCCACCGATATCTATAAGAAAAAAACAAACTTCTTTACCAACATGGAGACAAAGGTTGGACCACTTAGTATTCTCAAACATAGTGCTTGGTTGGAGCTTGTTCGTTGAGTTATGAACTGGGTCTCATGCAAGTTTTTTCCTTTAGGTTGGGTTCTGTTGATGAAAATATCATAAAGCATCAATCTTTATGAGGTTTGAGGGCTTGGATTGCTGAAAGAAATTTTGGGTTTGCTTCAATTTTGCTTAGGAGTTAAAAGATTCACGGTGGGGGTGCTTGGTGGTCCAGTTTATTTAATGTTCTGTTGAAGCCGGGGCTTACCTTGAATCTTCTGTGAAGGATGTCTGTGAATCGAAGACTTTCTGGTTCAAATGGAAGATTGCCACCAAGTATGAAGTCTTGGAAGGCAAATGAGCCTCTGCATGAGTCTAATTCTTCTAAAACATGTAGAAGGAAGCCGTTGCTCCTCTGGGTTTTTGGGTTTGTTGCTATAGGGAGTGTTTGGTTTATCTTGAGTTTCAATAGTAACGAAGCAGCTTGTGAAGATAGAGAAAGAATATTGCTTCAACGTTACAATGTCAGTAGGAAGCAGCTTCATGCTTTGGCTTCCTTGTTCTCTGGATCAGATCAGGTGACCTTCACTTTTGGCCACTGTTTCAATTTTATTCATTCTTGGCTTCATATTGTGATCGTTGACAACAATTTCTTCTTTTTAGAAACTTTAATTAGTTGGCTTCTTCTATATGCTAACTGTTCTTTCTGTTGAGTGTTATTTTCATTTAACAAACGACTTCTTGTTGTTTTAACTTTGCGCTGAAGTTAAAAATGTAAAATAATGAGAACCAAGAGATTGCCTTAAATGAAAGTATATAAACTATGCACTTCTGATAATTTTTCCACAAGGTTTTCTAGGATCACCATATGTTGTTCAATGTTTTAATTGCTAAAAGTGACATACTCTCTTGCTATATTTTCAAAATAAAGCTATGCTTGTTGCAGAGATGAATATGAGAAGTAAACAAAGTGGTGCTCTTTGTCCTCTGTCTTACTAGTCTATAATGCAGATTTTATCATCCAACTGTATTGATGAAAGAAGACTTCAAATGCTGTTAAGCAGTGGCATAGTGAGCACTCCACAGTTAATTTGTCCAGAGAATCAGGAGTTACAAAAGGAGCATAGATGTGTTGCAGAGATTGTAGAACCTGTTGAACAATGCCCAATTGTCGACGATAATGTCCAGACAAGGCTTGAATTATCATTCGTATTGAAAAAATATCTATCATTGACCTCACACTCTGCACTTTCGTCCAATTTGGTTAATTGTTTGCTTTGTGGAAAGGTAGAGACTTTACTAAAGCTGAGGCATTTATATGTTATGCCCAAAAGTTCCATAGTTTAAATTGTTGATTCTCCTCAGAAATAGTTAGTACCTATGAATTATAGCCTAACTTACAATTCCCATTTCTCACTGCTCAACCTATCCAAGGGGGTGTTATATGGCTGTTGAATGGAGATACAAAAGCATAGTGACGGAGCTTTAGGCTTCCTGCATATCATTTCCTGTAAGAGTGCTAAGTTTGTAGAAGCTGAGTGAGAAATAAAACTATAAAAAATGCATCAAATGGATCCTACAGTGGTACCATTTTATATGAGCTTGAACATAGTCAGAACACTGCCTTGAATTGCCTAACCAGCATCATAACATTCTTTTTAGCTTGGCAAGTGCTGTAATAAATTCTTGTCTCGATGTGTAAATGACAGAGTGACCAATGATAGCTAGCGTTTTGTTTCATTTAACCTATAGTTTAGTTAACATTATTATGTGAAGTCATATATCTATAGAAAAGTAGTTGATTTTTGTTAAAGTTGCTTCAGATATTGCCTTTCCTATGTTAGTTGTGGATTATACTACACAGACTCAGCATCTAAGCTTGAGCAGTAACTTTGAAATGTGCAGTCCATACATGCTTATTTCAAACATATACATCCACAATATAATTAATTTGCTTGTTTATTTTTGGCTTTGCAGAACATTTTGCAGTCATTTAAACTGAGGGTCTGTGCAATTAAGGATCATGTGAGTTCATCTAATTCGGTTAAAGGATGCTGGTGGATCCTTATTGGAATTATAATGTCCTGCAAGTTGTCTGGCTTCTATTTACTATGGAGGAGTCAAAAGCAGAAGCTAGTTTGGGGGCATCCAGCTTCTCAACAAAAGCGGCTGCAACATTCTGTGCAGGGTCCCTTAAAGAGTGCTGGGAGGTGGAGGAAAAAGTTGCTAATTATATTTGTGTCACTTGGAATAGTTGTGTCCGTTTGGTTATTCTGGCACCTGAATATGAACATTGTGCAGAGAAGAGAAGAAATGCTTGCCAATATGTGTGATGAGCGAGCCCGTATGCTGCAAGATCAGTTTAATGTAAGCATGAATCATGTTCATGCTCTGGCTATTCTTGTATCTACCTTTCACCACGGAAAACATCCTTCTGCAATTGACCAGGTAGTGTACACAATGTCCTTCTGTTCTCTTATTGGGGCATTGCCTGGTGTCTGATTGCTAATTAATTCCTACTCCGTTCCATGCAGACTTATTCATGGCTCATGTCAGATATTTTGAATTTCTTCTAGCCATTAGCTTTTGCTTAATGTACTTTACTTACATGAATCTAACTAAAAGATTTGTGTGGCAGCATAGTAATTATGGAGAAAATGTATGATTTCTTGTGTGCAAAGGAAAGGAAAAATTGATTTTCAATCATCTGTAAAACTTGGGGAGAGGCATGGTTGTTCTCTCGCATTTGGTTGCAATTGCATACATATAAAATAAAAAAAGGAGTAATGGGAAAGAAAGTGGGGATACTGAAAAATATAGACATAATATTGAAATATTTAACCAAAAAAATAAAAAATAAAAAATGGAAGATTTCAGGTGCTGGTATTGATCCGTTAATGTGTCAAAAAGTTGAGCTATTTTAAAAAATATGCAACCAAGTTAATCTCTTGCTTTATCATTAATTTCTATCTTCTATCTCAGTTTCTTTTGTTGCATTAAGGTATTGTTGTTACCAAAACTGAATCTCAAAAGGAAGTCGTTGTGGATAGGAGTGTCAGATGTATTTCTTTAGGCGTTTTTACATGCTATGCTAAGAGAAGCATATTTGACAGCATTATGTAGCATCGTTACCTTGGCATTGATATTAACTTTATTGTTGCTTTTGTTTAAGTATCTGTTAAATTTTACAAAAACGGACGAAGTTCAAACTGAGATCCTCTTTTCACTCATAATTCTGATGTGGTTTATTTGGTTAATTGTGATGCATTAGAATCGGGTTTGGATGTGTGTAAAGATTGCATGGATGTAGGTCACCAAGTTCAAACCATGTTAAATTATGTGCTTTCTTCAACTCTCCACCCTTAGTCATAAACGCACAATTCCAAACTCTTATGCTGTTAGGTGAAAGCATACAAATGATTTTTATATTACATCTCTAACATTATACATGTCAAGGGAAAACAAAAAAAAAAAAGAGAAAAAGTGAGGAAAATTAACATTGAAGCTTCTGTTTCACTGCAGAAAATTTTTGGGGAATATACAGAGAGTACAGCATTTGAGAGACCACTTACTAGTGGTGTTGCTTATGCTTTGAAAGTTCTCCATTCTGATAGGATGCATTTTGAGAAGCAGCACGGGTGGACAATTAAGAAAATGGAAACAGAGAATGAGACACTAGTCCAAGATTGTATTCCAGAAAATTTGGATCCGGCACCCATTCAAGATGAATATGCTCCGGTGATATTCGCTCAAGAAACAGTTTCCCATATTGTATCAATTGACATGATGTCAGGGAAGGTGTGCCTTGCTTAGCCTGCTGTCACCCTAACATAATTTACTTCTTCTTAGCAAATTGTGGGGCAATGGCTTGAACTGCTACTTTTACATTCCTGTGAATGTTCTAGCCACATGTATTTTGTACAAGAGAGAGAAAACTGGATTGTGAAATTATCAGTGGACTTTTGCTTTTGTTTTTCTATTTTCTTATTAAGCTGACAGCATTAGATACTTGAAGCTTTGGTGTACATGAAGCTAAATATTTGAACTAAAGACCTTACACTTAAAACTGTATCTTATATAATTTACTTTAAATGGTGAAAGTTAAATGTTGGGTAAACAGAATAATATATAGGAGTTTCAGTTACCAACATCAATAAGATGACTTTGAGCACTGGTATCACCTTCTTTTCATGCGTGGCTAGTTTATTTACGGTCATCTTAATGATAGATTAAGAAGAAATGAGATTAGGAGCTATTGTCTATGGAATTGTTCATTAAATTCCTCATTTATTTGGTTGTCTAAAATAATATATCTTTGTTGTATTGTTATATAGGAGGATCGTGAGAATATTTTGCGAGCAAGGGCATCTGGAAAGGGGGTTCTGACATCCCCTTTTAAATTACTAAAGTCCAATCACCTGGGTGTTGTACTTACATTTGCTGTCTTTGAGACTAATCTTCCTCCAGATGCTACACCAGAGCAGCGTATTGAAGCTACTGTGGGGTAATTATATCTAATAATAACTTTGATTAACCCCTACAACTAATTGTCTTCTAGTTAAAATATTACATGCATTTGTGCTCTTATTCCCCATCTTAATGTGTGTCTTGGTACCTATTTATTGGAAGGTATCTGGGTGCATCTTATGATGTTCCATCACTGGTAGACAAGCTTCTGCACCAACTTGCCAGCAAGCAAACCATTGTTGTAAATGTTTATGACATAACTAATGCATCTGCACCCATCACAATGTATGGTACTGATGTTGCTGATACTGGCCTACTACGCATAAGCAGCCTAGATTTTGGGGATCCGCTACGAAAACATGAGATGCACTGCAGGTTTGCTTTCACACTAAAAAGTTTGTGTGTTATGTCCAAAGAATTGAAATCTCATATCAGCACATTTCCAAATTTCTTTTCTTTTCAGGTTCAAGCAAAGGCCTCCATTACCTTGGACGGCAATCAATGCATCTGTTGGGGTACTTGTTATTACTTTGCTTCTGGGTCATATTTTTTATGCAGCAATAAATCGAATAGCAAAAGTAGAGGATGACTATCGAAAAATGAGAGAGCTGAAAGTTCGTGCTGAAGCTGCAGATGTGGCAAAATCTCAGGTGCTATATATTTCTGGGATTGTTTCTTTCTGTTATGGAACATAATTTTTATGTGATGGCAACAATATTGTGATTTCTCAAATCGAATTCATAAATTTAGTGCCTTATGTGATTATCATCATTCACCATCAGAATTATTTCTCATAATTTATATAGCCTTTAACTTAATTAAAATTAATAGTTCTGTGTTGATCTCCAAGGATTGGTTTCCCCTTTTGTAGTTTCTTGCGACAGTTTCACATGAGATCAGGACTCCAATGAATGGTGTTTTAGGTAATTGTAAAGTATTTAATGTTATCATAGATAATCCCAACTTGTCAATACTTGGTGATAATTGTCAACTGCGTCAAATCACTTTCCAGGTATGCTGCAAATGTTGATGGACACTGACCTTGATGAAAACCAGATGGATTTTGCCCAAACTGCCCATAGGAGTGGTAAAGATCTTATATCAGTCATAAATGAGGTTCTTGATCAGGCAAAGATCGAGGCAGGCAAGCTTGAACTTGAAGCTGTAGCTTTTGATCCGCATGCTATTCTAGATGAAGTTCTATCACTTTTCTCTGGAAAATCTTATGAAAAAGGAATTGAGGTGAAATCCTATCTTTCTGCTACCTTAGTTTTGTACGTCCTTTAATTTGGAGATTAGGTCTTGACATAAATTTTTGTTCTTTATACTTTTGAGTGAGTACAGTTGGCTGTTTATGCATCCAATCAAGTACCCAAAGTTGTAACTGGCGATCCTAAACGGTTCCGGCAAACAATTACTAATCTTGTTGGCAATTCACTTAAGGTTTGCTATATTTCACGCTGCATTTTTTGAGTTTGACCCATTTTATTCTACCCATTTTAAACTTTGGCTAGTAAATGACCCATGCAATGGAAAGACATTGTAAAAATACATAAGCAATTCAAGTTATTTATCTTTATATTTCCCTTCTTCTCTTTAGACTTGAAATAATCTTTCATAGAAAAAAGGGAATCTTATTTTTTATTTATAATCTTTGTTAATTAGCTCACTTGGTGCATTTCAGTTCACCCATGATAAAGGACATGTATTTGTCTCGGTTCATCTGGCGAATGAAGTGAAGAACCCACTTCATATTATGGACGCAGTATTGAGAGAAGGCTTAAACTTGGATCAAGACATGCCAGCCAGAACATATAATACGTTAAGCGGGCTCCCTGTAGGCAACAGATGGAAAAGCTGGGCAAACTTTAAAAAGTTTAGTATAAATTTGATGGATAAGCCTGAAATTATTCAACTACTAGTAACAGTTGAGGACACAGGTATAGGAATTCCTGCAGATGCACAGAGCCGCATATTTACACCTTTTATGCAGGCTGATAGTTCCACTTCTCGAACATATGGGGGAACTGGAATAGGACTGAGTATTAGTAAATGTCTAGTTGAGCTTATGGGAGGAGAAATTGGTTTTGTAAGTGAGCCTGGAATTGGAAGTACTTTTTCATTTACAGGAACTTTCAGAAAAGGAGAAACCACATCTCTGGATGCAAAGTGGCAGAAGCACAATCTTTTTGTTCCACAGCTCCAAGGATTGAGAGCATTAGTGATAGATGGAAGTAAAATCCGAGCTGAGGTCACAAGATATCATCTGCAGAGGTTGGGGATGTCTGTGGATGTAACTTTCAGTCTGAAATCTGCATGCTCTTGTCTATCTAGTACTTGCAACATGAGGTAATTTGTCATTTTTATTAGTAAACTGCATTAACTGGTTATTCTGAACCAATTTGGTAAATTCTAGCATCATCAAGATAATTTCCATTTCCTCAAAATTGGTAATTGCTTGCTATCAAAGGTAGTTAGTTACTTGGACGAACAAATAATTACAGTTCATTCATGCCTGTAGAAAGAGCATGTAGTTTGATTATGTTCATCATGAAGTAAACATGAAGATTTTGTATTTATAGGAAATTGCATATTAAACAATAGGTTATTATTTGCTAATTTATTATTCTTTTTTTTTTTGTTCCTTCAGTATGTCAACACAGTTCGCCATGATTCTTATAGACAAGGATGCTTGGGATAAGGAAAGTAGTATCTTATACACAATCAAGAATCAAAGACAGAATGGCATCAAAGGGGACCCAATAAACTTTCCAAGGATTTTTCTCCTGGCCACCCACCTTAGCCCCAATGAACGTGATGAACTCAAGTCCATTGGAATCATAGATGATATACTAATGAAGCCTCTTTGGCTTACTGTTTTGATTCGCTGCTGCAGAGAATCCCTTGGAACTGAAAAAAGGCAAATAAATAGGAAGAAAGTATCCAAACTTGGGAATTTATTAATACACAAACAAATTTTGGTGGTTGATGATAATGCAGTGAACAGAAAAGTTGCAGAAGGTGTTCTGCAGAAATATGGGGCAATAGTTACCTGTGTGGAGAGTGGCAGGGCTGCTCTAAAGATGCTCAAACCACCACATAATTTTGATGCTTGTTTCATGGATCTCCAAATGCCAGAAATGGATGGGTAATTGATCTGCTTATTCTATATTTTTTTAGTTTGTTTCTGACTTTTGAATGCAAATGGAGGCACCCTAGTTGCCTAAAATAATAGAACCAAGGATCATTGACTGGTCCAGTAAGTTTATTTCATACTAGAGAAAGCACATGTAAGACAAGGCATAATAATTAAAAGAAATGGTGCCAAAAATGAGGCCACTACCCTTATTTACTTTTGCTCATAACCTACCTAGAATATTTGAACTGAAACTGATTTTCCTGGGTCCCAAGGTTGCAATGTTGAACTGCAAAACTGTCTATTCCGGATTGAAATAATAGCTAAGGTATAATGTTTGGAGATTAAGCTTTGGCCTTGTAATTAACAACTTCATCTGATTTTTCTGGATCCAATGGCCGCAATGTTGACCTGTAAAGGTGTTTACTCAATCTTTAACAATAGCTAAGTAAAGTGATTTTGCTTTGTCTTTGTGTTAGGAATTGGTGTGAGTTTTTTATGCACTGTTTTTGTGTTGATTGTTCTGAAGTGACAATTATTCTCTTCATCTTAAATGGTACAGTTTTGAAGTGACAAGGCAAATCCGCCGTTTAGAGAGTGAGGTAAATGAGAAAATTGCATGTGGGCAAGAATCTGCTGAGACGTTTGGTAACATCTCTCATTGGCACACTCGAATACTAGCAATGACAGCTGATGGAACTCAGGCTTCAAATGAAGAGTGCAGGAAGAGTGGGATGGATGATTATGTGTCAAAGCCATTTGAAGAAGAGCAGCTCTATATGGCAGTGGCACGAATCTTCAAGTCTGGTTCATAGTGTGGAAGCATCATGTTTATAATGTTTGATTATTAGTGCAGGTGTCATGTTGACAAGTGTTGAATGGCCTCTACGACGAATGCCAAGTGTCAATTTTCCACTAAAAGAGCCAGCAGATGGATTAATTTTGGCTAAATTATGTCCAGATATTGTAGGAGTAGGACTCACCCCAGCTGATGTGTTTCTAAACAAGACCGGCATGTCAGCATCAAAGCTATCACTTCAGCACCATGGATCTCAGCTATGGCCTTGTTTAGTTATAGTAAGTGCCATGTTCATCATCCCTGGATTTTCATATTACAAGTGCATTTCATACATATTAAAATGAGTATAAAACTTAAAAGTTATAGCATGTGTTACATTTCTAAATTTGGTCCTTCTACTTAAATTTTTTAATGTGTCTTTCCATGTTTTCAATGTTGTTGCAAGTTGGTTTTTCATACACATCTACAATGTTGGATTTAAAACATTTAGGGTGTACGGAAGAAACAATTTGAAGCAAATTGAAACATTCAAGAGTTCAATTCAGAAAATTAGAAGTGGAAGGACTAAATTGAGTGATGTAGTTATTAAGGACCGAAAATGTAACGTTTCCCATTGCAATTCAGTTATCTATAACAAATGATGATGAGTTTAATAAGATTATTCACGAGTTAATAGTGTTTTTTTTCCTTTCCAGGAAGCTGATTTGAGTGCAATAAAATATCAATAGCTTTTTTTTTTTAAGGAAGGGGAGGATGCTACTTGGACCAGTGTCATCTATGCTAATTATCACTCATTGCAGGAGAAGGGGAGGTCAAGAAGGCACAATTGCATTTTTGTGTACATAACCCGTTTTTTGTTCCTGCTTTCTATTATTTTTCTTTGTATATATTCATATGGAGCAAGTAGGATAAGATAAAATGTTATAGTGATGAGTATTAATTCATTTTTTGGGCTAAGATTGAAAGAAATGACAAATCTTGAACCCTCAATGTTGAGATATATAGTCCCACATTGGTTGTATGAGCAACTAATGTGGAGTTTATAAGACTTTGGGCACTCCCATCCTTTACACAGGTAGGTTGGGCCTGTTGCATTGTCCACTCTTCAAGCTCAATGGGCTCTTGTGTGAGGGGACATGTTGAGATATATAGTCCTACATTGGTTGTATGAGCAACTAATGTGATCTTTATAAGACTTTGGGCACTCACATCTTTTGAGCTAGTTTTAGGGTGATGTATTCCAAAATTCTTTACACTCAAATTTTGTAAGACATGCAAAGCAAAACTGTTACATGATACAGTAGATTGGCATATGTACCAATATATTTTTGTTTTCATTTGCCACTAAGAAATGACAACCGGTGTTTTATTTCTCCTTTTATGTTTCATTGTTTCAAGGCTAAAATGTGCAATTCGTTACTGTTGAATATGGAGCTTCAAACAAGTAATGCTCCATATTTTGGTAAATGGGATAGAGCCGAACATGTGAACCACTAACGGATGAAGAATTTTTTTTTCCCTTTTGAAAAAGGCAATAAAGAAAAAGGGTTGTAAAACAGATAAGAGAGGGGGGAAAAGGATGTGAGATAAATAATCATTTAGTCATTGAGAGGGAAAAAAAAAAGTACACATCCTTGTTGAGTTGGAAGAACATCAGACAGCAGAGAAAGTTAAGAATATGACTCCTTTCTGTGTTTCTTTACGTGTTTGTGAAGCATGTGACAATTCATAACCACTGAAATTGGAAGCGGCATCAGAAATAACAACTAATCTTGTTTTGTTACAGCTCAGTTCTTTTTTTGTGGATCACATTTGTGACCACCTTTCAATACTATATATTGTATAGAGCTCACTTTCAATCTGATCCTGCATAGTCCACTTTGTAAGACAATATAAAATTGCTTCTTAGCCGTTAGAAGAAGAACTAAGAAGCACATAACTACATCGTCTTTTCTTTCGCTATATACTATATAAGTAACTAAATTGGTGATGTCTTGGCTATGATTTTTGGAGTCTTTATCAGCAAAGCCTCTCTTATCCTTTCTCCAAAAATGGCAACATTCATGCTGAAGTTAATGCTTCCTCTACTTTTTCTGTCCATAATTTCTCCAAAAACAGGTATTAGAAATATATATAGTTGTTTCAAAACATGTCGAACTGTTTCATTTTTTCACATTTTTACAATGTTAATGAGCCGTTTAGTGTTGCTGTAAAATGTTCATATTGAAAAGTACATTCATTATGTGCAGCATATGCCGAATTTGAGCAATGGTGTGTAGCTGATGAGCAGACCACAGACAATGAGTTGCAGGCAGCCTTGGATTGGGTTTGTGGGAGAGGAGGTGCTGATTGTAGTAAAATTCAAGTGAAGCAACCTTGCTATTTTCCAAACACATTAAAAGACCATGCTTCTTATGCCTTCAACAACTACTTTCAGAAGTTCAAGCACAGTGGTGGTTCTTGCTACTTTAGAGGTGCTGCCATGACATCAGAAGTGGATCCTAGTAAGTATTTAACAGATTCCTAATAACCACTCTCTGCTTTTGTGTGTGTGTGTGTGTATGTGCTTTTATTTTTTTAACTAGGACATGTGCATGTTCACATGCAATGAGTGCAAAAAAGAGGATTTAGAATAGGGTAGGCCATGTGACTTTAAATGGCTTGATGAATATTAAAATGAGCTAGTTTATTTGAATTATGTCAGTAAAAGAGGAAAAAGAAAACTAACTAGGAAAACAAGTCAGGTTGCACTGCATGCTGTTAGAAGCTATATTTAGTAAATCAACGTGTCAATGAAATTACTCAAAGTAAAAGCACTCACATTCTTGTGTAAAATCCATTAGGCATAACATGGGGTCGACTAGAAAAACTAGCACCACTTCTCAAGTGCCTGTACTCAATTCAAATGAACATTGAACCTGATCTAAGCCTATAAACTGATGAATAATTATATTTTGTATGCTCATAACCAATCTTTATAATCTCATTGCAAGTAGTTTGTTTCACCCGGTTAATCCGTCATAACGTGAAGAAATTATTCTTTTTACCATTTTTTTTGTTCCTTCCATAACCTTTTACACCACTTTTTTTTTTTTTTTTTTGGGCATAAGAATTGGTCCATGCAAATGGTCCCACATATAATGAGTCCCTTGTCAGGGATTGGGACAATTCAGAATTTAAAATTGTCTAACTTTTACACCACATAAGTTGTGTGTATATGAATATGATTAGCTGTGATTTATAACCTGTGACTGCTTAATGTTCATGTGCAGGTCATGGTTCTTGTCACTATGACTTCATCCCTTGATCCAACTTTCATTGAAGACTAAAAATAACTGCAGCAAAAATTAGAGCTTGGGCCTTTTTTTTTTTTTTTTGTTATTAAACCATTTTCACCCAAATATGTTTTAGGCACCAAAGTTATTAACCTCATTTCATGAACAAGCATTTATTAAATTTCGAAGAGAAAGATTTCTTAGCTTTTTATTTTCAAGTGCTATTCTCATAGTTCTTGTTATTGACATAGATACCTAAATCTGTTGTGTTTACAGAAACATTTATGTCTTTCTGTTGTAAGTCTATGCTAAATTTACGTGTGTAACAAATGGATGAATTATAAAACAAAACAAAATGGGCCTCCATAGCAATAGGTTGATGGGCTACAAATATTATTTATTTGGAGAGCTTTTAGCAATGAAGTCTTGGGCTACGAAAATTACTTACTTGAAATTTTTTTTAAGTATATTTAGAATTAAAAATTTCTCTTAAAAATATCAAATATTCACATTGAGTGATTATTAAATATTTAAGACAATAAAATTCTTCAAAAGTAGAGAACAGTTTTCATACAACACACAAAAAAGTGCAATATTTCTCTCTTTCTCCTTTTCATTTACAAAATGACTTTTTTTTTTAGAAACAACAAAATAACTTTGTCTCTCTACTTCTATGAACGACATTTCTTCTTATTGGTTAATAATGATTTGTAAGTCTCTGCAACATGTCACTCGTACTAACAATATGTTATAAAAACCGGACCGATCTGGCTGGGTCGACTTGAAAATCGATGAATTGGTCATGTAACCGGTCCGATTTTCATATTAGACCAGCTATATTACAGAACTGGTGTGACCCGGTCAATTTTTGTAAAAACCGATGACCCGGCCCGGTCTATAAAAAAAAAAAACTAATTTATTTTCATAAATTAATATCTTCTTTTTTTTTACTCTCAAATACAAATGATTTGTTTTCTTTTGAAAAATTTGAGTGATTTATAGCTTTTCTTTTGGTAGACAAAAGGCTCAAAGCCAGAACAAAACAAAACAGAAAAACTAACTAGAACTATGAACAAGACGATTTGTAGCTTATTAACTTACATAGATGATGTACCTACAACACTAATATTATCTTGATTATGTAATATGTAGGAAATTTTGATTTGATTTATAATTAGAGATGTCGTTTACTAAACCTAAAACACTAGTATCACAAATATTATATGTTTGATTGATCTTTTGTTGGACAATGATGTGTAATTTATTATTTTTATATTAAAATATTTGAAATTGATATATTCTTTTTACAAGTATTTAAGTATATTTATAATTTTTTTAATATAAATTATAAATTTACATATACTTATCTGGTCATGCGGTTGAACCAGTGACCCAGTACTTCGACCGGGTCAATAACCGAGCCGGGTTTAACAACATTGCATACTAACACTATTCTTGAATAAATAATTAAAATTAAGTAATCACACTGAAAATTATTCGATTCTTCGTTATAATTGTTATAACAAATTAGTCCTTAATTCAGTTTTTTCTCTTAGAATCGTTCGGTTTTTCATCCGATATTGCCTCAAGAACTTAACCCCAACGTTACGTCAAAAGGGAGGAAAAGCATATAACGTTAATAATCTTGTTTAATCTTCTATTTTTTTGACTCACAGTAGTTTCTCCAATATTCAAGGAACCAAAGATGAGAAGCCCTGCAACATGAGTCAACTAGAATATGATTTGATTGGCCAAGTATTCTAAGGTCACTGTTTATAAATTAGAATCAAAATTAACAGTATATTTCCTTTAAAGTCAAAGTCTTCGATGGACTCCGAAATTGAATAAATAAAGCGAACATCTGATCATAGGACCAAAAGTATACATTAATTGAGGAGTTATCATAGCTCAGTAATCTTACCAAAAGCATGCATTAATTGAGGAGTTATTCAAGTGAGGAATCGAAAAAAAAAAAAAAAAACCCAAAAAAAAATCATTATGCTATTATATGTAAAATTAATATATTTTTAAAAAAATGATTCTATACACATTTGTAAAAAGGAAAAATATTTTTGTTTTTAAAAATTTCTTTGTCACACTCACATAAAAATAAGTGGGTCACATTATAACAAGAAGATAAAAAAAATTAATGGAGCTCACTTTTTTTTTATATGAATATGACAGAGAAACTTTATTCTATAGCGAAAATATAAACATTTGTAAAATTATGATTTCTCTTGGTCAAGCGTATTCCTTTGAAAATTGAGTAGGAAATAGGCGATGAAGACATTGACTTGAAAACGGGCTTAGTTTACAAGTTAAAATTTGGTATTAGTGTGTAACTCATTTTCTGCAGTCCAATATTTCAACTTGAAATTCCCTAAATACTTTGAATTTTGAAAGAAAAACAGAGAACTTGCCAAACTATTTCTCTTGGTCTAATGTGTTCGAATGCCCTCAGCAATTATTTCTTGAGAGATTATTTTTTTCTATACAAGAATAATAGTTTTTACATTAAATTTTAATTATTGATTTACTTTCATTTATCGGTTCTAATTTATTAATTTTATAATTGTTACATGAAAACAAAATTAATATTAAAATTAAGAATATAACTTATATTATATAACAGAGAGAAAAACTATTCTCATATTATATAAAATAAATTTTTCTTCCAATACATTATTTAATAACCGTACAATTTTTTTTTTCTTAGGTGGTAAGTTCCTAACATAACATGAATTATATTATAAATATACAATATATATTCGCGTGCATCAACAACTTGCAAATTTAAAATTCTACTGAGAGACAGATTTGGAAATTGAAAAAGGTAAAAGGTTAAGAGGGACCTAAACAGATTTGGAACCTAAACACATGCAAACTCGTCCACTTCACACTTCCCAATTTACATTTGCCGCGTCAGGAACAAATAAAAATGAGTAAAGAATTTGTTCCACAACTAAAGACGGGGGCACATGTGTTAAGAGGGACCCATATGTTAGCCAAAATGCATAGCAGAACATAATTTTGTACACCCTTTAAAATTTACAAAACTGCAACTTTGGCAATTGATAAGAAAAGGACAAATTCTGCATATACAAAGGACAGAACATTAATGTTATCTATTTCCCAAAAGCCCTTACACTGGCGGTGCTATGACAGAAAAACTGAATACAAAAGTCAAGCTCTCATCATGGCTTTTTGGTTTTGTCATATACTCCTGGGACTAGGTCAAATTTTAGACATGTAATTGGACCGAGTTTAAGCCTAGTCACACATGGCAGCTACCTTGAGTGTGTCTTTATGAAACATTGGGAACTCAATATCGGTTCAGCTTCATTTTGTGAATAGGGGACAAATATACATTAGGAAGGCCTACATACTCTTTTTAAAATATGCAATTTACAAGACCTTGCAACCTAAAGTACTATTACAATTTCTTATAAAATTTAGACAAATTTAAGATTATATCTAATTCTACACTTTAATGGGAGTTTCAAATATTTAAACTTGCTTGTTATATATTTTTTATTTTATTCCTTTTAGTTAAGCATAATATGAAATCTATAAGCTCTGTTTAAGGGTTATTTATTGCTAGTCAATTTATTGAAAACTGATACGTGGAGAATTTTCATGAACTTGAGAAATGAGGGTATGGTTAATTTCTAATAGGTCACCTGCCTAAAGGAATGAACCCCACTTAATAATCATTAGGTTAGGTTCGGTTCACTCAGCTAATTGTCTCTAGCTTTAGCATGGCTCACACTAAAAAGACATGTGCAGAGAGATCTCACTCATGAAAGCAAGAAGAATCTCTCATTCTCAATGGAAGCTCAACTACTCTCATTAGGTATATCTTGTAGGTAGAACATATCTGAACCGTTACTTGTATGTACAATATGGACACACAAGAATTTGTGCTCCTTCCATAGCCAACGCCTTACTTTCACGTGTAGCTATAAAAATAAATAAATAAATTATTATAAATAAATAGACAATGATGCATATGCAATCGAGTTGATCTTTGTTCCTTGGGAGTGGGAGACAAAGCCAGCCCTACATTCCCAATTTAAGGCATGCAATTTACAGGAGCTTCAAGCTTAAAGTGCAATTCCATTAGCAATGTGCCCTTTGATTAAGATATCTACCTATTTCTTGTCTCCACATTATCGTCCGTTGGTTATATGCATGTTGGCAAATTATTAGAGGAGGGAACAATGAATTGGTAACACAGCTTTTTCTCATAATGATGAACCTGCACATTAAGAGAGCACGTGGAAATGAATGTTAAGATAAATCTCACCTCCTAAAAGACCGTAAACACACTTGCACACGGGACACGGCATGTAACATCTAGTGAAGTGGTAGTTTGTCAAGTTTTGTCCACGAATGAGATTTTTGTGTGTTGGAGATATTCCAATCAATTTATTGCTTTACAATTAGTTTGATTCGGATGTCTTGGGATTAAGATTTTTAAACCTCTTTCAAAGATGATACTAGAAAGAATCGAATACATATTTTTACTGTCACCTACTCAATTTTTTGCGTCAACAATGTGTGGTGAGCACAAAGCGAACTAGCCTTTTCCCAAAGTAATATAGAAGAAAGACATCTTACATTGGATGGAAAAAGGTGAAGAGCTGTGGTTTATATGTTTTGGATGAGTCATTGACTCATTAAGTTGGTTCTTATATTATTGTATCATACCACATTCCCAAAATTTCCCTCGTCACTTTATAACTTTAAGTCCTCAATAATAAAATTGTAGTAAACCTTGGTGAAACGAACAGAGAGGGGAAAACAATGTTTTAATGAGCTGAAGTTAAAACTTGTCATTGTTAGTCAGATACCTTTGATATTTGCATCAGATTATACTACTTTATAAATGAAGAACATTAAAATAGAGAAGAAAGGCGGTTATTTAACCTATTTGGGATTTTTATCCCTTTAATTTTTTAATTTGATATTTGATTCACAATATTTATCAACAGGGGTCATTTAGTGACGCGAGGAGGACCTAGCATCACTGAGTGCTGCTACCATCCCCCGCGTCACTCACATTTTTTTTTTCAATTGAGTGACG